TATATATATATATATATATATATATATATATATATATCTTCATTTTATTTATCGCCCAGAGTTCCCCCATTGGGGAGAGATGGGTGGTTGAAAAATTTAATTAATAAATAAATAAATAAACAAATAAATAAAAATACAATACAATACAATACAATAGAACATGGAAGCATATATCTATGTTGCCAGAGAATGGAAACTCTGATATGCATTGGAATTTGACCTAATGTGAGCTTGCTTGCTTTTATTTATAGGACTTTACACCACTTCAGTCACAATGAATTTTCATAGTTGAAAAATACACAAGATAAAAATCATAAATATAAAAACAATGCAATAGGCATTTAATTATATTACAATAATATTACCATGACAGTCTCAATCAGCATTCATTCACGGTCCTGCATCACTCTACATAGTGCGGCTCTGAAGGGCCTTGAGAAAAATATGAGCTTAGCAAGATTCTGGAATATTGGAAGGGCAAAGGTCATTCTTGCCTCCTGGGACAAGTTGTTCCATGGGGAAATATTCCATGAAAAGTATGCCCCCTTTTGTCAGACCTCTCTGTATGTGGGGACCCTACAAACAGCCACAAGGAATCAGTACCAACACCAGATGTACCTTTTTTTTTCAAAAACCACATGCACCTAACCTTAAATATCCTAGTAATCTTAAGACTGCGACCTGAGCTATGGCCAAAAATGCCCTCAGGACGACTCAGTGACTTGATTCACCTGTTATGGTAAGTCAGTGTGGCTTAATCAGGGATGGTTTAATAAGCCACAGTCAGCCAGGTTCAAACCAAGGAACCACACCATAGCTTAGCACAATGTGTGAACCCAGCCAACGGGAAGAGCAGCTCCTGTGAATATCGCTTGCAGCGGGCTGTCAGGCCCTGCCACCCCTGGGCAGGTTACCTTTCTGGAGACACTGCCCACAGATAACATGGCCGCAGTTGGTCAGGCTGAAATTTAGAGTGGCTCCTTGGGGCTTCTGGAAACATACATTGCAGAATATCGGACCAGCCATTAACACAAGGAATTGGAGCTGGCTCTTCTTCTCTGCCTCTAACTACATCCAGGCACCCATAAATACACTTATGCCGCCTCCTCGGACTCAAGAAACCCGCAACCACCAGCCGTTGCTCCGCAGCTCAAACGCCAGCACTCTCACCCCCCGCTGACGAGCGAACGAAACAGCGCGCCTAAAGGCGGCGGAGGCCGCGCTCGTCAGTGGTGCGCATGCGCTCTTTTCCAAGAGGCTAACTGGGCGGAGAGAAACCTGAATAGAGCCCCCGTTCTATTTAGCCCCTCCCCCGGTGTCTTGCGAGAAAAGACAACTCGTACGTAAAAGTGGCAATCCCTTTTACTGATCTTTTTAGTTCCGGGATCAGATAGCAAAAAAATTTTACTTTTTTTTTTTTTACAATTTATACAGTATAGGGTGGGAGCTATCCATAGAAATCAATGGAAAGATGTAAAACTTTGGCTGTTTTAACGAAACAGTGTTAAATGCAGCATAGGCGAGCTTGATGACTCTATAGATATATTTGTTTACTTTTCTAGGCGGTAATTCGGAAATAAGTGATTTGCCAATGTTTTCTGATGGGGTGTTTTTTCAACCTCCCATTTTAATCATCCCAGGTGGCGTCCCATCCACATATTAACCAGAACGGACCCTGCTTAGCTTTTCGAAAACAATTATTGGAAATTAGGATCAGCAGAGAGAACACTTTCGGGGTCGCCTTGCATTAGCAAACCACTGAAAACTCCAAGCGTTAACACGTTCGTATGAAATAAGAACTGTCAGAGGAACGATTCCTAAATGTATGAATGAACAGGCGTGGGAGAGAGGATCAGAATGCGTTGCGTCGGAGGCAAAGCTAAATTCGAGCTTTCTCTAATTTTCACAGGCGGCCCCGGATTATCCCGGAAGAGAATCGGAAAAAGAAAGGGTGTACCACTGACGTGCACGAGCGAGCGTGCAAATCTGCACGCACGAGCGGCGGATAACGCCGGCACCACCATCAGCACGGAGGCCCCGGTGAACCCGGGCGTCGCTCTCTCGTTTCAGCGCCAACCAGGCGAGCGAATGAGCCAAGCAGACTCGGGGCTTGC